GAAAATATGGCACCAACAAATGCAGAAAATATGACACCAACAAATGCGGAAAATGCAACATCATTAGATGTTTTTTTGAACGAGTTGGATATTGCTTCAAACATGAGTTTGAAGAGTACAACCTCTCTATTACAACTGATAAAGATGGAAAAATTGGACAACGAATCAGTTAAAATGACGATATCTTCACTTTTAGCCAATGACGAAGGCAATGAAGAGGATTTGGTACATTCCTGATATATGTATATGTGAGTGTGCGTGTATCCCATATGTACGGTTAAGAATTATTTTTTAATTTCAATACAAAGCTGTACTAAAGAAATTGGTGACAAAATGACAATCTATTTTTACTAAACTGTTATTCATACTTTCCCTAATGTAATTCAATATCAGGGAATTTGCAATATTCTTTTTTTTCGTAAAGAATGAAAGTATTGATTTAAACATTCTTGCCGTTTTATTTCACTCATATATCATGACATATAACCTGTAGAAAAATCAACTTGCTATAAGTAATAAAAAGCAGAAAAAGCTCAGTGATAAAATTGTTTCATATGATTATTCAAAATATTAACATTACCTATCATGTTCAACAGATCATATTAAACAAACAGGCAAGCATGTCGTTCAATTTAAATCCTAATCTTGCAATTCAACTTTTCAAAAGTTATTTTTTCAGCAAAAGTTTTTCATACATGATCAGTTGAATTGCATAAATATTCATATCACAGTTCATATACAAAGCTTCGAAGCAATTTTTTCAATACCATAATTAGCTAGCTTCTTTTCTTCAATCATTCATGAAGTTTTGAAAAATTTATTGGATAAAAAGTTTTACAATTCCTATTTACCACTGTCACGCATTTTAATTTTACCATCTTTCTTGAACATCCAATCCATCATGCCCATTTTATACATGCCAATCGATGTCAACAGTGTTGTCACAGTCATGATTATTGTTTTGTTACTTAATTTCATTGCCATGATATTTCACTTTTCCCACACAGCACGATATGTATCAGCAATTGTTGAATGGATGTTTTTTGAATGGCGCAAAAATTTCGAACTGTGACAGAATCGGACTATTGAGGATAAAGGAAAACACAACACTTGAAATAATAAATGAAAAACACCGATTAAATTATTAAAAAATCATTTATATTAATAAATATGGTTCATGCGTATATTTTTGAATATGCAAAAATTATACAAAAGGAAAATATAATTTTAATTTTGCTAAATTCAAACAATACAGAAAAATTGACTAAATTCAAAAATATATCTTTTAGAAATTGGATATATTTTTAAAAAATTCAATGAAATTACAAATAGCTGAGAATGAGCTCAAATTAATATGAAGACAAAATTAAATTTGGAAATGAATTAAGAAAGAAGGCGTTTTGAATAAATTCAACGTTAAATATTCAGACTGTTGTTGCAAATAAATTAAATTAAAAATAGATTAACTTTGCTTTCAACAAATAAAATGTTTACATTGTGGAAAATATTCAACAATGGCAAAATTTATGCACGAGATATGTTTGATCAGCTACTTTAAGCATTCTATCATAAAAAGATTTTTAGCAAATGAAACAAATGATAAGTGAAAATAGCAATAATTTTGTGATCGCTGGATTATGTCAGTTAGATGTTCAAATCATACGTGCAGTATTAAATGTCATTGCATTCGAATGCAAAATCATTTGTCAAAATGAATCTTTAAATCAACAGATAATTAATTAGATTGATAAAAAAAATTGTCGAATGAAGAAAAATTTTATGTGTGTAAATGTTTTTATTTTGCTTATTTATTCGATTTGTTGCAGTTAAATAATGAATTTGTTTTGTTCATCAATCCCTTGTTTATTAATTCATTCGATTTTTCATTCAAAAATGATAGTTAATTAAATGGTCAAAATTGTTTATATTATCATATGGAATGCGCATTAGTTAAAGAAAATTAGTTAAAGCTTTGGGAACCGCAACACAGGCTAAACTTTAACTTTTTTTAACTTAAACCAAACTTTTTTAAGTACTATAACTGCTAAACTTTTTTTAACTTAAACAAATACAAAATGCAACCTTTCTTCATTTTATAAAATTCGCACTTAAAGATTATCAGTAAAAATTGTAAATCGGCCCCTAAAAATTATCCATGGTTTGTTTTATTTGCTCACTTCCAAAAACTCTAAAAATTTGTTAATTTATTTGAAATTTCATGGCCACAAATAGATGCTCATGACTTTAATATTTCGAAAATATTACTTAATATTCAAATTAATACATGCATTTATTAAATGTTGAAGCATAATTGATTTTCTGTCTGTCCAGAAGGTTATTAAAAACTATAAAAATAGTAAGTAACATTTAAAAGTTTTATTTCCAGAATTATAAATATAAGCAATGGCGCAATTGTAAAATGGCTTGTTTGATACGTGCGAATTTATGAAAGTTGAATGTTGGTAAAGAACAGTGTTTAAAATTTTCCTCACTTCATAATGTGTTATTCATTGTTCATGTCGTGATGTTGATTGTATCGGTTGTTGAAGAATAACACCAAATTTGACCAACAGTATCATCGCTAACGATGTTATCATGATAAGAGCACTTATTACAAGCAACACTATCACGATTACTGATCGTGGCTTTTCTAAATTTTTTGAGACGTTTTTTTCGTGATTTTATATGTGATCAGAAATGAGAGATGCATTATCATAAATGGAAAAAGTTGAAGTAAATTTTATCCATGAACAGACTGAAATTATTAACTTGCATTACTATCAATAGCATCTATTCAATGCATTAGCTAAGTAACACTTAACGAGCTTTCAAATTCTTAAATTGCTATATTTATAATGTTAATCTCTTGCTTTATTTTATGCTACCATTGCAGCGAAGTGTTGCTTATACCTGCAGAACGAGTAAGTGGCATGGATTCTTGAACAGATGAAACTGAAGGCATGTTAATTTCAGAATCTGAAATCATTGAAATTCATTAACTAAATTGAAGAATAAAAATTTCTGGAAGTAATTCTTAATGGACTTCTGATAAGCACTATGCGAGAGCTCTAAAATAGACTGATTCGATCGTTTCAAATGATTAATTTATTTCTTGTAAACTGTTTACTGACAAGATATTCAATCATCACATTATTCAACAATTTATCTAATATATGTATGAATAATAAATGGCTATTTTAGGCATCAATGTTGGAGTCTGAAATTGAAGATTTTAAAAAAATAAATTAATAAATGAATATGATTACAGTTGTAAAGTAGCATTTGTATGATAACATATGATAGCAATTGTATGGAAGAGTTAACCTAATGTGGTTGACTCTGCTTCTTGCCGTACTTTGGGAATGGTAATTGTAATAGGTGTAATTGCCATTGTTGTTTTTGTTGTTATTGTCGTTTTTGTTGTTGTTGTCGTTGTTGTCGTTGCTTTCGTTGTTGTTGTTCTTGTTGTTGTTGTTGTTGTTGTTGTTGTTGTTGTTGTTGTTGCTGTTGCTGTTGCTGCTGTTGCTATTGCTGTTGTTGTTATTGTTGTTGTTGCTATTGTTGTTGTTGTTATTGTTGTTGTTGCTGTTGTTGTCGTTGCTATTGTTGTTGTTGCTATTGTTGGTGTTGTTGTTGTTGGTGTTATTGCTATTGTTTCAGTTCGTATATCAATATAAGGGATATCAGTAAAATCAGTTGTTGATATAACGATTGCTAGAATGGTTCTCATAAATAATTTTCAGCTAAAAATTATAAAATAGTAAATCTAGTAAGAAATAGGCATACTAAACTTAATTCATCCAACTCATACTATAAGCATATTTACTCATTACAATCAATACGATAATTTTAGACAGTGGTTAATTAATAGCCTGCAATGATTGCGTTTTGGTTATGAATAATTTAATCTAACTTGAAGGAATTACCATCTCATCATCTGCTCTGTCATGCTCTATTATCAAAAGAATTAGCTAGCGGTCAGTGGAAAGAAAATTTTGATGATTCCACTCAAGAAAAAAATATTCATTCTCTCGGCCTACTTTTTCCTGAAGTTAAATAAACTTTTACCCTGATTCCTAATGAAACTCTCAATGAACACAATGATAATAGCAATCATGACCAGTTGTGCTTTCTGTTTAGCCCTCCTGCAATTTCTGGCTAATTTTCATACCTGTCAAGAAAGAAAGAAGATATAAAAATAGCAACCATAATCGCTACTACTACAATCATATATTCCATTCAATGTTTTACGTCATTTACGCTTTCTTCTAACGAAACTCATAGAATATTTAAATCATATTGCTTTTAAATCTCTCTATTATTTAAAATTTAGTTTGGAATAATTTTAACTTTTCATTCTTAATAGTTCCACCTGTGACAAAAAATTTTCGCCTTCAATTTTCTGAATACGGAAAATATTTTTCCTTTCAACAATTTACTTAATCAAATTGAAAAATTTTTAAATTAAACTGCTTAAGCTTTTTGAGTATCAGATCAGAATTTCTAACCAAATATAATTTCATGCTGACAGTACCGCTTACCGATAACTTTGATTATTACACGAAATCATTTTTCGCTTTCTTCTCGTAGCAATGTAATGCACAACCAACCGTTGTAAAAAATCCTGAAAATACTATCGTAAACATTAAAAGAATTACAAAGTAATTTGATAGATGAAAGTTGCTAAAATATAAATTTGAATAATTAGATGAGTGAATTTAAATAATTCGCCACACAAATATAGCAAGTTTTGAAAATGTAGGAATATGGTGAGTGAAAGTTATTACAAAATCAAACTTGGATATCAATAAAGCTACATTTTTAATCAGAAGTATATTGCAGGAAACAGGAAAATCACAATCTTATCATCTAAAAAATAACATGTGAAAGTATTTAAGCATTAAATAAGTATAACTGCACAAATTAAAAGTAGCTTCATTACTTTTCATTTGTCAGGTAGTATGAAAGTATGATATCGTTTCCTTTTTAGCTGGATCTAATAGCTATAATTATCCTTCTTCTAAACTATTACTATCTTTCTCAAAATCTATAATCTTGAATTCATATATCTTCATTTCAATAATTTTCAAAGGCAAAAAAGAATTTTAATTTGCATACAGTAATCGTACCAATAATAAGAAAAAAACATACCCATAAAAGGAGTGAAAATGAAATGTCATTAATCATTGTAAATTATTTATCATTGACGTGCTTGATTGGGAAAGATTTCATCTTATCTCTTATCAGATAGTGTGAAGCTAACAAAAAGAGGAAAGAAAGAATGAGTGCGCTTTGCGTTTTATTCATTTTGGGATTAATTTGTCTTGGCGTTGCTTATCATCTCGGCTATTTGGATCAGTATGTTGCAAAATTTAAACAGTAAGTACGATATGCTCGATCAAATGGGAAATATTTGCTGATGCAATTAGTGATCCATATTACTTTTGTAATGTGTGTTATGATAAGGAACGATTTGATCTGATATAAGTGTATTTCAAACTGTATCACAATTATCAAATAAATCTCGACTAATTTCTTTGCAATTTATCGCTCAACATAATTCTTCGTTTATTACTGCTCTGAATAATAACAAAACGAATAATCGTTATTTAATGAAATAAACAATGCTTTTTGAATTTTTTTTTTTTGAGGTTCCAGAAAACAAAAAATTAAAGCAAAAATTTTTAAGAATCTGTCCATGATATTGATGTACTTTGGAAAGTAATTTAGAATATGATCAGTTGGTCATTTAATATATCAATGAAGTTTGTTAACAATTCCGCCAGGTGTTCTTTAAAAGAATGATTGCGTCGTTATTTTCTTATAATTGGATTCGGTTCATTTGCAAATCTGATATATGTAAACTTCATGACCTTTCCATCAGGCATACAATACGTTTAGTAATTAATTCATAGAAGTGGACGAAAGATGAGAAATTGTAATATTTTGCTTTCATTGTTTTAAATTTGAACTTTCATCTTCAAATCGAACATTTTTTTCCGTTACTTTTTTTGAAAGGATTTTTTTTTCCAAATTAAATCTCTTAATTCATACCACTTTCAACCCATTTCGTTTTGTGCAGTGTTGCTTAATTTTTCGAATGATGTTTTTGGTAAATGATGATAAAATAAAGAAAAAAACCGCACTTGAGGTATATTTTATATGTCTAAGACAATTTTAAGAGGTAATGTTAACATAGCAAGCTGAATTGATATGTCAATAACACATAATATCAAATCTCTTTTATTTTTATAAATTTATAGTTTTTGAATTATAACTTTAATTGTTCGGCAATAAACAAGCTCTTAATTGAAATGAAAAAAAAAACATTTATATTTTTCTCATTTCTTCATGCTTTTTAAAATTGAAATCAATGGTATGAATTTTTTGTATAACTTTGCTAAAAATAAAAAGTAATAAAGACTAACTATTAAATTTTTTTTTTGAAAATGGAGAATTTTTTAATATAATTAAAATATTGATTTCAAATTTTTTTAGGCAAAATAGGCAACTTTACAATAAAATTTCTCCATGATCGATGCAATTTTACTAAAAATGTTATCAAGAAACAATTCATACATTACTTCCATTATGTTATTGATTTCTAAAAAATCTTCAAAAATTGGCCATTACTGGAGTTTCATTTGCACTATTTTTCTGTTACATTTAGGCAAGTATTTGAAATATGCAAATTTTTTTTGAATATATAAATATTTATATAAGATAACAAACGGAGAAACACGATTATTATTCACCCAAAGACTAGGATTTAACTGGTGTCTTGAGCCAAATTTTCCTTGGATCAGTAATTAAATTAACGTGTGAGCAGTTGGAACAAATGCGAAGAACGTGTCGACAAACTGAACTGATAAGGGGAGCGGAACGTAAGATACGAGGAACAAGAAGATTAACCAAAGCAACTCGAGTGAGAAATTCACATGCGGTACACCGCAAAGCAGCATGCCGTGAAGTTTCACCGGAAATTCGAAGCGTTCGAGAAGGGAGAATTCGCCTTGGTAGTGTTGCTCCGTTGCTATCACGTCGAGCTAAAACTCTTGCTATGGTATGTGAATTTGAGCATGAAATTGTTTGATTGAAGAGCATGATTTGAAAATCATTTGAATACAGCTTTTGACTTTTGTAATTTTTATCAAATCTCATTTTTTAGAATGGCTATTACAATTATTACTCAGATGACGAGGAAGACGATGTATCGGATAACAGTGATGAGGACAATTTTACGGAAGATGAATATGATGATGATGGTGACCATGATCATGATGATGATAATGATGAACTTTACGACAATGATCATCATCATCATCATCGATCATGTGATCGTCATCGTACTCCCATTCATGTCAAGTACGTTCAATTCTTTTAATTACCCTTAAAAAGTTTTTAGAATTTAAAATTTTTTCCTAATTTAAATTTCAGAAAACATTATGAAGAGTACGAAGATGAACTATTTCCACCACCATCATCATCATCATCATCATATCCGATCTCTGCTTCGCAACTTCTTCGTACACGACGTCAGCCAAAGTCATACAGAACACATAAATCCGCCATCAAAACCTCAGTTGCAACTAAATCTGCTCCAACTAAAGCAGTCTCGGGCGTTAAGCTCAAGAAAAGCACTGCTCGACGTAATCCCAAAAATAAAAATAAAAAAGTAAAAGCAGCATTTAGAGCGTCACGATCTGGTCCAATAACACGATCACGCGGGTATCGTCTTAATTCCAGTAAATTTCATTTCCTCTCCAGTCCTTCATAATTATCACTAAAATTTTATACTTTCAATTTTTCAGAAGAGCTCCGATGAATAATGGTTAATAATTTGGCAGACACGAAATTTCTTCGCTTCCGACAACGATGACGAATAAAATAAATTAATTTATCATTTCCATCGAATTGCTTGCTCACTTACATATCAATTTTAAGCTGATTTTCGAACGACTGGATTATTGATTGATTGTGAAAGAAATGTAAATTT